GCATAAGCTTCTTTCATAAACTGTGCAATAAAAGAAAAGGGAATAAGGAATGTCTGGGATGCTAGCTATTCTTGCAGGTATTGTTTTGGGGGATTATCTTCGAAACTTTCTTTCCTGCCCTGTAATTTACACTGCTACTGCTGATAATGACTGTAAGGACTATAAGCAGCACTAATGGGTATGGATCACTGTTCTCCTAGACTGTACAAAAAAGGAGCATGGGGAATGATGACCCTGTAAGATAGATCAATGCAGCTGCAGATTGGTTCTTACACTATTCAGGTTATTTTCCTTAAATGGCATCATGCCTCACACATTCTGCTGAAGGCTATCCATATCCATCCAAGTTCATGACAGCTATTCTTAGACATTCTTTCATTTTTAACGCCATTACCAAGACTACTGCTGTACTTTTTAAAATGAGAATGAGGAGACAGTGTCTCTTTTATCAGGTTCAGATCTATTTAGCTTAAATTAAAATTATTTGCTATAATTTTCCTATAGTTATTCAAAGGATTAGTGAGAAAATGTCACCGAACAGCTACTTGTCTCCTCATTAACATTCATGACAAAACCTTCTGGTAAGGCTGGTTTTGGCTGCCGATGGAGCAATACTTAAAAGAAATTGGCTTGTCAGCACTGCTCAGCAATGCCACTATGCAAGGGAATCGGTGATAATAAGATGATATTATTACAGCTACACTGGGAACATAATATATTTTAAGCTGCTTTGAGGTATACAGTGGGGGGCCAAGAATTGCAGCATGATTGCTTGTCTATTGCTATGAACAGGAAACAGCTGATCATTACATGTCTGCTTATTTGGACTAGCCCTACCCAAGGCCTTGAGGTAAAAGAAAAATTCTCATCTGCTGGAACTGTTCACTTCCTGTTTGTTTCCTGTCTGCTGGAACGGTTTTTTGTTCCTTTTCCTAGTTTTTGGAAGTGTGTATGAGTCCCATTGCTGAAACAGGTATTGCATTCTTTGCTAGGAACATTGAGAACCTACTGTTTCAGAGGAATCTTTCTCATTGCAAGGCTTGCTTTCTTAGGCAAGATTCTCAGGAGAAGATTCTCTGGATCCTTGTGCACTCATTAGTGAAATTCCAGATACCTTTTTTTTTTTTTTTTTTAAATTACCATCCAGTATGGCAATGCAATGGCAAATACACAGATATGGGCAATACAGTTGTAAACATCTGCACATAAGGCTCAGCCAAGAAACAATTGGCAGCTGGTATTCTGTTGTGGAGTAACTCATGCTAATTCACACCAATTGTCTAGAATATGGAAACCAAATGGAAAAACTATTGCCAGACCTTTGGCTCTGAGACATCTTTGAACCTCACATACTCTGAGGAATAAAACACTTAGGAACAAATGAATCTAGAAGAATGGAGCAGTTAGAAGTCCCAACACAGTGACAGCCCCTTAGAAATGTGGAGGACAAATTAATAAGAAATGAGTAAGATTGTACAGGGCTTTAGGATGCAAGAACTGATTGCCATTTAAAAGAAAGGCATCTTTTCTTCTGATCATAACTGTTTCCAAAATGCCTAATAGTTTCTAAAGTTCTCTGTTACGAATTTCATATTTAGCTTCTCCTGCTTAGAGTTCTTGTAGAGATTTGGAAAGTACTGCACTTCAGGTAAAATGAACTATAAAACTGACATAGAAATGATGTAGAAACATTGCCAGCAGGCTGAGGGAGGTGAACCTTCCTCTAAGCTCAGAACTGGTAAGGCCACATTTCGAGTGCTGGGTCCAGGTCTGGGCTCCCCAGTATGAGAGAGATATGGAAATACCAGTGCAAGTCCAGCAAAGGGCAGTAAGGTGATGAAAAGACTGGAGCATCTTTCCTATGAGGAGAGGCTGAGAGAGCTGTGACTGTTCAGCCTGGAGAAGAGAAAGCTGAGGGGGATCTCATCAGTGTGTATAAATGTCTGGTGGGGGCAGTAGAGAAGATGGAGCCAGGCTCTTCACAAGAGAGCCCAATGACAGGACAAGAAGCAATGAGCACAAATTAAAAAAACCAGGAAATTCAATCTAAACACAACCCCCCCCACTTTTTTTTACTGTGAGGATGGTCAAACACTGGAGATATCCATGGAGATATTCAAAACACAGCTGCGCAGCTGGGCGACCTGTGGTAGCTGACCCTGCTTTGAGCAAGGGGGGTTGACTAGGCCATCTCCAGAGGTGCCTTCACACCTCAGCCATGCTCTGATTCTGTGTAAGAATCTTTACCAGAGGCTAAAGAGACAATGTTTAAGTTACAACAGATTGAGTTTCCTTGTAGATTATATCATGAATGGGAATCTGGGACAAAATCCTGAAAAGGAAAACAGACCTTAAATTACCTCTCAAAATGGAAATCATAAAATCATTCCATCTATGCTTAAGTATATGGTTGTGGGACAGAAAGCAAATAAGATAAGAAAGCCATGAAGATAAGAAAGATATGAAGGTCAGATCATAATTTAACGAAGAGTTCACATACCCCTAGAAAGTCTTATGTTGCAAAGGTTAGCATTACCGTAAGACATGCCTGGTACAGCAGAAAAATTTGCAAAAATCTACATGACCTTCCATGTCCCTTTCAAGAGTTTGCAAAATGACATAAATGTCTGCACAACCAAAACACTAGTTTAAATTAGTTCCTCATGGGAGCAATGCTAATATACTCTCAGCATTACTTAAATTTTCATATATTCTGTTATTGCTTAGATATGCTGCTCTTGATAAACACAGGTCCTGTACACAATTTCCATAAAATCATCACAATCAGTTGTATTTGTTTTGTTATTTCTGGTGTACAGCATCAAATGGCAGAATCATGTATTAGAACTCTCTTGTACAATCGAAGTACCAAATTAAAACGAAAAAAGATGATCCTTGAAGAGTTAAAACATTGATGTTATCTAACAATCCAATATTTGCTTTATACTGAAAACCATCATCCTATTTTAAACTGCAACAAATCTAGCTGGTTTTATACTGAAGACAGCTTATTAGGTGAATATATTTTTCCATTAATGTATTTGCCCTTCTAGAAAGACTCAGCAGTTTTTCCGTATAAGTGAACAACTTCTGAATAGTTTTAGAATAGCATTAAAATACTGAAACTATACACAAAGTTCAAATGCTCTTTGATAAGACTCCACATTGCAAATTCCCTTTAAAACATCAGTGATAAGCCAGAAGAAACCACTTAGTCTTTTAATTCAACTTTCTGCAGAGCAGATTCATAACAATCCCAGAATGCAGTATTTACAACAGGTCAGCAACTTCCAGCTATGTACCTTGCTGTCAGTATTAAGACACAGAATTTCAGGTTACTGAAAAAGCCATAATGTGCTTAAGCTCACTGCAATATGAAAAAGCCTCAAGTTGCCAAAGAATTAGTAAGGTACCATCTGAACTCTGTAGTAAATGACCCCAGCGTTTTCAGTAAACTGCACTGCCCACTGAACACCAGTGATCATCTTGGGTTTCCTTCTAGAAAAAGAGAAAAGCCCTGTACATGCTATAGATGGTTTGAAATGTCTGTTCTGCTTGCATACACATCTTGTAATATTGCACACAACTTCTGGATTTTTTTTTTTTAGGTCCTTCAAAGCCAAATAAAATTTTGAAAATCCACTACACAAAAAGTTCCAACTTCACATTAAAAAGGGAAGCCATCACAATGCAGAGCACTGCACAGTCATCCACACTGCAGTCCTTCCAAGGATTAAAGACACTTTCTAAATTATATTAGCATCTGATCTACTGCTGGGGACTTTTCTCCAGTTCATCCTCATATTATACATTTCCCATTCCCTCCTTTTATAATTCATCTTCCCTTCTGTGTCATATTGATAGAATCAATATTAGAAGAAAAAAATCTTTAATTGGATAAAGAGAAGGACACAGAATTGCCCTAAGGAGTTAGAGACATCTTTGCTTTTTTCTGAATGCGACCTCAGAGTTTCAAAGTAGGCTTCCAACTTTCCACCATTCTTCTACGTGTGTGCGTATGCCCCGTTACCTGGGGTTAGCCAGCTTTACTGCACCTGTTTGCAATCCTCTTTGCAATGCTGATTTACACCTCTTAGTGCCAGACCCTTTCCAACTTACACACATGCAGAAATGCTCGGGGGAACACTTTCAACACAAAGAGAGACTTCATATTTAGATAAAGCCACGACTGAGTATTCTGAAGCTCTTTGACCCTTTGCTAATCTGCAGTTTATGAGAAGAGCTCAATACAGTGTGACTTGTAAGTACAGTCACAACCATAAAAACTGCTTAACATTCATTATTAAAGACAAGCATTTAGCAAATTGCGACACTGAACCCTTGATCTTAGAAAGATCTTACAAACGCTGAGGACCAGAGTAGATTAGAGTACTGATTAGGAACAAATAAAAACCCCAAACTGTCCTTGTCAATTCTTTCTAGGTATAAAAGATATGTTCGATACTGCTTAAGGGTCATGCTTTGCATGACAATCCCTCTCAAATCCAACTGAGGCCTCAGCGTTTGGAAGCCAGAAGCCCTCTAAAAGACTCTGTACACCACAAGAAAATCATGCAGGAAAAAAGTACAGCCTTAAGGCTACAAAAAGGCAGACTACAAAAAAACTGCTTTGCAATAACAAAAATCAAGGGAGATCCACAGTTCATCTTGCAACAGTGAACATAATTGCAGACCTAAATTTTGCATCTGAAACTAGGAGACAAAAATTATAAACCTCTCTATGCATATCTAATCTCTTTTTTTCAACACTAGCCAAGCCTGCAGGCACTTAACAGTCCAGATTCTTGATGTCATTGTAATTAAAGGCAATACTCACAAGGCTGATAAGCATACCAGCTGTAAGTTAACCCTTATCTTAGCCAAACTGACAACTGCAAATGTGATATCTAATTGTAAAGAAAAGAACATTGGAATTTATTATGGATAACTGACTTTTAAATCCCATAACCTTGAAAATAAGTAAATAATATCCAGCCTACCATCAAACTTCTTGTGCCGGGACACAAAAGTGGTGCGTACAAAGTGACTTGTCTCCTCCACTAAGTTTTCAAACTCCAGTTTGCTCTGTTGGCTTAACTTGTCCTCCATTTCTGAGGTGCAACATGTATATTCCTGAGGGCAGATTCTCAAATGTTCCCCTGGAATCACAGGAAAAAAGCAATTAGAAATATTTGAATACAGATAGAAATGTGTCAGAACCAAATATACATGATGTCTCTTCAGTTCAGGAAGGTGGGCTACCCAAAGAGCTCTTTAAAGCTTGACTACTTGATTGGGAACAATTTGAATCTCTGTCAACAACTTTGCTGTAGTTGGGCATTCCTCACACAGGAGGGGAGACACACTTTGCAGAGTTGTTCTGATACTTAGAAGGCAGAACTGTCTCATGCCAAAAGTGATTCCTCATGCTGAAGAAGCCTTCCTCATAAACAGACAAATACTTAAAAATTCAAAGACAATTGCTTGCTTCCTGTTTGTATTCAAAATGCCTGGAGAAATACCTAGTGAGATGACCTGTTAGAAGTCATCGGAGCTGTCTTGCTGTTAAAACCTGAAAAACAGAAATTATGTATTTCTGTAGATAAGTCCCACTTGCCCAAATGCACCAAAACATTCTCCTCTTATACCCTTCCACCCTTCCTTCTCTTCTGCTTGAGAAAGTGTATTTTAATGACTGTGTTTGGGTGCCACATGTTTTCTTGGGCAGCATTTCTTGTCAGACTGAGCAAGTGCTCTGCTGAATAGGAGAAAGCAATGAAGAGTTTAATTAATGCTTATGTTATACGGAAATGCAATGTAACAGGTAATGAAAGCCTCCTATTTAATTCAATAGATTTATCTCTTGAAGCACTGTGGCAATACTTCTGACAATATTGCTTTCTTTGGTACAATTTGCAAGTGGAAACCAATTCTTTAGCTCATGAAATTAAAATGGTCTGTTATTACATGAAATGTGAATTTCCAATTGACACTGTACTATGCGTGTCAGAAACATTTAGCTCAGTTTGTACAAAGGCAGGAAATTCTACCATTCCCTCTTGAGAAATAGAAAGAATGATCTGCCTCTATGATTAAAGTTACTTGTAAGGCAATGAAAACATTTAGCTTTCTGTACACCGAATCCTGATTAAAAATCCCTCTGCAAATCTCTTAAAGGTGCAAATAAAATGATATACAAAGCCCAAGGGTTAAATAAATACTGGGGACCTGATTCTCGTTTATACTGAGGCTCCTTTCTACCACTGCTGAGCTATAAAGAAGATTTAAATGCAATTTATACCTACTTTAAGGCTACTTTTCACCATTCTTATTATGTAGTGAGGAGAATCAGGCCCTAAGGTTTATGCTTCCCAGGGGTATAATACATTTAGCTGCTGCATCATTTCGAAAAGAGCATCAAAAAGAGGTTTGCACATGCTTAGAATAAATATTGTCTTGAGTTTACCCTCACCTTATTCCAGTTTTTGTTTCAGTTTTTGAATGAAGTCTTTTAATTTGAAATTTAGTCACTCCTCAACCCCGACCCATCACCCTCATCTTAATTTTTTTTCTGCAAGAGTTCATACTATATGAACTATAATGCCATGAGATTTCTCCCAGCAGTCTCAAGACTTTTTAAAAGCTCACAGCTATACATCTTCAGGAAGGATCATTTCATTATTATCAGTTACTTTTTGGCAGTACTACCTACAAGTCCCAGTCATGTCCAAAAGCACCATGATATAAAACACTGCATAAACCTGGAAAAAGAGATACCCCATGACCATCAAAATACTGTAAGGATTATTTCCCATGTCTACTACACCCTCCCAACACAATAAATTCATTCCTCTCCATTCTCAAAATCACGCATCTAAGCCATAAACAACAAATATAGGGACTGGTGAGCCAGCTGCTGTCAAACATAAATGATAGTGGCAAAATAATGGTTGCTTTACCCTCTACATCGCTGTCACATTAAACTGAAACTATTCAACAGGTAACATGTGACTGCAGAGGCACCACAATAAGACACAATAAGAATTATTTTAGTAACAATAATGTTCTGAGTTTTTATTAGTTGTCAGAAAGACAAGGAAAGCTGAAATGTTCTGTTATTAGAAACAGTGCCATGTGCTTGATTAAGTAAAAAAATATACCCCATCCATAATATCTGTAACCCCCTTCCTCAAGAAACCCAGGGGTTTTTGCTCATTGGAAAGCACTGGGTAGACCTACTATCCCAGTTCCTGCCACAGTGGTAGTTTATGCTTCCTATAATCATAATGTCCTCTAGTGCTGTTTCAGTCAAAACTTTTTATAAAATTCAGTTTTATTTCCTCTGTTCATTTCAGTTTTCTTTCTCCTCTGTCTGGCTCCATTTGTTTTTCAGAATTGCTGGACTATCAGCTGAACTAATGCTAATCATCAAGGCACTGTGCTTAGTGAGTAACAGCCATAGGTCTAGATTTTTAAGACATTATGTTATGCTGAGTATTATGACAAATTAAACCATACTGAACGCAGTATAGCAGTCATTTTGTAGCAATATTAATTTTTCTCACGCTTATTTATTTATGGTCTGTTTTG